AATAATTCAACCTTATTTGAAAGTACAAGTTTTTGAAAATACTTTTTTTTTTAGTTTTGTGATCAGTTTCTAAGATGTAAAATATCAGTATACAGTTTTCAGTGCTACTATAGCATGCAGTCTATAAAGATATTTACACTATAGCATGTGGTCTACACAGATACTATCATCATCATCGTTTTAATGATTCACTGAAACATAATTTTTTCTAAATGATTTATATGTATTCATGTTTTTGTTCAGTAAATATAATAAGTTGTCTGTTCCAAAAGAGTACCTTAAGTTTAGTTATAATTGTGTTAGTTTTGGATTGTTGGAACTTATTCTGATTATATTTGCCCCCAAAACGTTATGTAATGGTATTTTGTGCTTTATTAGTTTAAAAGCGTTATTTATAATAACTGGTGCCAATTGCAAATAAAAGATAAAACGGTGATGATGGTAGTATCTGTGTAGAGCACATGCTATAGTGTAAATATCTTTGTAGACTGCACGCTATAGTAGTACCCAGTTTTCTTTGTAAGCACATCTCCTTAACTTCAAAACCAGGCCATTGGAAATTTAGAAACAAGTCTTTTTGGAAAAAATTTCCAAACAAAGCTGTTTCCTGAAGGTGAGTTTTTATTTCAAGATATGATTACCGATATTTAACTCTCTTGAGATATTTTATCATTTTCATTGCTTTCTTATAAGTTCATAATATGAATTGAACAAAAGAAAACTAATGGCATAGTTGAGATGTAATTTTGTTTAAAAGTTGTGTACTGGTCTATGAAAAATTAGGTATACTGTTTATTGGATTATTTTTTATTCCATACTTAATTGGTTTTAGGAATTTGAAAGGTATCTACAATTGGCTGTAAACATTTTTGAAATAGGATAACTTTTAAATGAAGAAATATAGGAACTTGTCAAAGAGCATGTTGGATTTTGTATCCCTAGATTTTATATCAACTCCACATGGCATTTGTCACTTTAGTGTATTTTTCAGGCATTGTCACAAAGTTTTTACAAGCATGCCTTTTAGAATTACCTCAGTTGTTTTCTTAGTATTATCTTTAAGGTCATTCAGCAGCTGGATGTGGTATGCAAACTAGACTTCAAGTGTCCCCTCCCCACATACATAAGTTGTGGCATTAGGTACAGAAGGCATGGGGTGTAGAATAGTACGTGAGTGGTGCTCCACATTAATAAACAAATACCATGAACTTCCAAATATGCGAAGATAAAATTCTAGAAATTTTCCAGGTATGCGAGTTCAGTGTTTTCTCTTGGAAGGAAAACGAGCCATAGATCTTTCATTGTAAAACATCATATCAAACATTGATTCTTGGCAAGTTTTGCATATACTCGTTCCAGACAGAATGAAATGTTGTCTCATTGAAATTGTCACGATCCATCTGGTCAAGGAACATGGCACTCATGTATTTACCATGAGTATAGCCTTTTATCTGTGAATAGCCAGTATTGCATCTGATGTTATATGCATGAAATTTCAGTTGTATTTTTTAAAATCTTAAACAGTAACTCTCGGAATGTGAAATTGAAAATAATTTTTCTTAATAGATTTTGTCAGAGTAGGTTGAAGGACCTTGGTTACTAAAGTAGCAGTCTTCACTTAATGAGGTATTTCCTCTGATGTACAGATTCTGGGTCCTTGAACTACTTATGCCATCACTTATTGCATTCTTCAGTAGTATACATGCATAATAGACTTGTTGGAATTGGTTTTCACAAGAGTAGCAGCCATGAATACTTCCTAAACAGTTACCGCTTTGTCGCTATTTACTGAAGAAATGTTAGTTTATATCAAAATCTTGCCAGGTTGAACAAAACTTGAGATGCAAATACATACTGCACGTCTTTATCTTTTTCATTTAAAAGTTATTACATTTTAAAATGTGTGCAGCCATTTGTAGATGCCCTGTACAAAGATCAATTGAATGGATGCCACAACAGTACTTAATATTATTGTTTATCTGTAAAGAATTGTTTCATTTGGCCTCTGAAATTTAAATATTTATACAAGTTTTGAATCAAGGCATGCTTATCATACTTACTTGAAAACGGCTACTATGGGTGTTACACATCTATAGTAACATAATATAGTTTTATAATCATTGTTTATGTAGCAATTTTGAATAAATTTGTAAATTTTATATTAGTTTTTTAGTAACATTTGTCAGAACCAAAGTGTAGAATACTTCATCCATAGCGTAGTCTGATTTTCAGCTTTACAGATTACTTTGAACATGTTGGGAATAGGATCATATCACATTCGTTTAGTGCATGCCGAGCAATGCTTGAATTGTCTATAAACCTATGATTAGTGTTCTTTTAAATTATTTGACAGTCAAGCACCCTCACATATTGGGCAGTAGAAGTCATATATAATGCATGACTGTTGAAAAAACTCAGTTAGAACAAAAATGGTGTGGAAGACAGTTTTAATGACAAATGAATGTAAAAAAATTATAATGCTCAGATAAACATCTAATGTTTAGTATTATATTCAAAATAATATGATATATTAATAGCATTGTCTACAGTACTTTATAAAGTTGCATGTATATATCACCCTTGCAGTGGCTCTGTGTCTTCTGATAGCCATGTTTGCTTCCGGGATGGTACATAGGGTTTGCATCACTACCTGGTAAGTTTGTAGTTTTATCTTTCGTATTAGTGTACTATTTAAGGATTGTGTAGAGTTTTGAGGGTTTTACATTTGATTTCATACCAAACTTAATCATGTTTATAATGAGATGTGTATGTGTTTGTCTATTTAAATTTGCACACACAAATTATTCGGTGCTGGGAGTACATTATCTGTTGTAACTCCTCTTTCTTTAACTTTATTGTACTTTGTAAATAAACACTTATTAGTTAAGTACTTTATTTTTCTTACTTTTTAGACTACTTTCATGTAATAGGGGTTTCTTACAAGTTTATAAAATTTGTTCATTCAATGACAGATCTCATTATAAATAATCATTTATAAGTTTCATCTCCCTCCAGTTTTCTATGTCTAGGATATTTACCATCATTTACTTTGTTTTAGCATGTAGTCACATGCAAACACAACATAATGTATTTCCCAGTCAGTAACAGTTGCAGATTCTTACATAATTTAAATGGTAACTTTTCACCTTACAGTGTTACTCTGTGTGTTAATAAACAAATTGGTCTGTATTCTCTTATTTTTCTGACTTCTGTTCTTTCTATCCAGTGTGGGATTCCACAAAGTGATAGTGAGGTTAGATTTGTTTGGGGATTAATTATTTGAGAGATAAAAAAGGGAAAACCCAATTTTTCCTATCAATTGTCAAGTGATAAAGCTTAAATTTTTTGAAACAAAAAACTTTTGTCTACTAATTGTAAAATAAAGTTACTTATTTTTTTATTATTTGTAGTATAAAACTTTTTTACTTGTAAAATAAGTATTCAATTTTGTATTGCCTGTAAAATAAGAACATTCACCTCTTCAATACTTGTAAAAATTTTACTTACTAGTAGATGATTAGGTCTTAACAGCTCAGGTGACTTAAACCAGCTTAAAATGAAATTAATTAATTGAAACTAATTTTACATTTGTCTTATGAAATAATTAAATAGTTGTATAATTTTATTGAATATAATTTTAGTTTTGAAGTGTTGTAAAAAAAAATTAAATGTTTACGAAAGTAATATGTTCAGTCAGTGATATTAGGTAAACTATAATGCTCATTACCCTGCTGTAAACTGAGAGTTCAAACAAACCACATACATTAAATTCTTCTTTCTATATTTTTGATGTTCTGAGGGTATCCTGTTTTATTGTAAAAAAAATAACTAATGAACTTCTAATTTTATTACACTTGTTTTTATTTATAGAGTAATTTGTGAAATGTATTGAAATTATTGTTATGGCATGTACATAAATCAATGTTAGTAAGAGACTTTTATATAATTGAAAAAATATTTTTATTTTATTTCAGCTTTCTCTTTTCACTTCTGGCTCTTTATTATCTGAATCGGATTTCCATAAAAGCTTATGGACAGCCTGTATCAAATAAACCAGCACCCATTATCAATTCCAAGAAAAAGAAACATTAGTTTCTGTATGAGTTTTTTTCATTGGTTGAATAAACATTATTAAAAAGAAAAATGTTTTTGTCCATTTGTATACATATCCTTAATATTTTGAGATAAAATGAATAAGGTACATTGAAAAGTTATATTTAACACAAGGTAAAAGAAGATGTGTAAGCATGATTTTTGTCATCATCCAAGTAAAGTTACGTTCTTTCAATATGGGAATTAGCCAAAATAAGACTATTTTTTTAATTTGTGTGATAAAAAATTAAAAGAATACAGTGTATTGCACAGGTTTTCATTAAAATTCAGTTCCAACTCGGCACTTTTTTTATAAATTAGTTTGTCTGTAAAACTATATGCAGGCCAAGTTGTATCTGAAGTTTTATTGCATATCCACTCGTGGTTTTGCAGGGTTGTTGTTAGCATGATAAGTTTTCTCTTTTCCACAGGTTCTTAGAGTAAAAAATTTGAAACTTTTCATATTTACTGTAATAACCAGCAAGTTATTCCAAAAGAAACAGATAATTCATCTATATATCACTAGGGTAAGAAGTCAGAACCAGTGATTTTACTTTAATACAAGTCCCCTTGTGGGTCAGTGGTAAGTTTGTGGACTTCAAATGCAAAAATCCAGGGTTTGATTCCATGTGATAGACAGGGTGCAGATAGCCCATTTTGTATCTTTGCACTAAAAAACTACTGTAAAACCATGTAAGTTTCTTCTAAAAGAAATGGTCAATTTACCTTTATCTCATTAGGGCAAAGAGTCAGAACCAGTTATGCTTAGTATAATACCAAAAAAGTTTAATCCCAAAGAAAGATTTTTTCTCTACCTGATTAGAGTGAGCAGTCAGAACCAGTCATGTTTACTAGAATACCCAACAAGATATTTCTTTTCTAGTTCACTGAAAAACTAGATTGAAATGTATAACACATTTCTGTCAAGAATCTTTTCATCAGTGAACTTTTACAAGTTAATATCATCATACAAAAGTGTTACCTATGTTGAATTTACACAAGAGGTACCATGTATTCACTGCTAAAGTTTCTTATTATTTCCATTAAATAATTATCATAATACTGCTTTTTATAAATATCAGAACGTAACTTTTAGAATGAGATTCCCTTTCTCTTTTCACATGTCTAAATCTATATGTTTTGAAAGCCTTAGATGATTAGATGACTATAATTTGGAATCTACAATAATATTGTTTCTTGAAAACTAATCTAGCACTGTGTACAATTTACATATGTGTTACTGTTAGTATTCTTTGTGGAATAAATGTATATTGTTAGCCTTAAAACACTTTAATCACAAAATTCTGAATACAAGTTATACAGGAAATATGTGAAAACATATAGCACACAGTTGTTGTAATGAATCAAATTAAAATTTTTAGGGCAAATTATTAATTGACTAAACCTCAAACACTGTATCATATGTTTAACAGTTTTAGTTTTTTATAGTACATTAAAATACATTTTCCAGTACAAATAAAAGCATAAAAATAAAATGTACAAAAGTATTTTTTCTTTGAGAAAAAAGAAATATATATATATATATATATATATTTGCTAGCGGTTTCAGCATCTTATGTATTTGAAGTAAAATGTTCCTGTTAATTTTTCTTTATGTTTTTAGTTATTAATATTTTCATAACAAACAACATTGGTTATTTCTTTTCTTTAAAATTAAAATCTTGTTTTATTCATACAGTTTCTTAATTTTTATATAGATAGTAGCACATTATACAAAAAGCAACAATAGCATTGCAAAAGATGGTTATTTTTGTTGGACTTTGAATAAAAAAAAAAACATGTTTATTTTAATTACCTACATATGTTCTTTTAAATACTTCTCTAGATGCAAATATAACTAAACTGCCCTTGACATATTTGTACATCATAACTATATAGTTAATAGGTTTTCTTTTGTGGTTTATCTTTTTTTTTATTTTAGGTGGTTTCTTAGAATAAAAGAATGTTAGTTTATATTCTAATTATTACATTTTTAAAAATATGAATAAGTGAATCTTGGGGAACATAATTAACTAATATACAACTTTTTTGTTTTATGAGAATAAAGAAATATTTACTTAGATTGAAACAGTTAAAAATTAGTCAAGCTTGTTAACTTACAAACCTATGATATGCCTCGAAAGACTGTTTTCTAAGTTATTTAATTCGCATTTATCTGAAGTAATAAACCAAGTTAGAAATATACAATAGTAGACACTCATATGTATTTATTATATTCTATACAATTCAAACATTTTGCTAACCTGCTATACATTACTAAGTTCAATACCCTGATATTTTAAAATATTCATGATTTGTGTATTGGTATGTTCAAATGAGTCAATTCACCTTTATCTACACAGCTTTAAGCTAGTTGCACAATTTAGTATTAATTGAACCAGTTCATAACTACAATATAAAATTATATTTTGATATGTTACAATGGGATTTTTTAAAGAAATTACGAAAATGCATTTATTCTGAACATTTTTTTTTACAAAAACTATCTTATAAATAACTTGGATTGCTTAAATTATGTGATCATAATTTTGAAAACTAGCATCGGTTTTTATAATTGTATAATCATGTTCATGAGGTCTAAACGTAGTGCGAATTTTGTACGAGATATAATTTAATATTGTAATATCTGTATACAATGTATAAATATCTAAGTGATATAACTTGCGGTAATTTACGATATTCACTTACTTGCAATGAAAGAAATAGCAGATTATGATTGAATTTCAAAAAATAGTTTTTCAAATAGTACTTTGTAAGTGTTAAATTTGCTTAATATTTAAGAAAAATATTAAATGTCATCTAATAAGTAATATAACAAATCTTTATTATGGTATACATATATATAACTTTATAAACAATAAAAAAGGAATCGAATGTTTCACAAAGGTTCATATTCCCAGTCAAATATAATCTGACACAATACATATATATCTGTATTGATGGAACTGTTTAGGGTTAGCAATTAAATAACGCATCATCGTGACTATTTTTTCTCAAATTAAGTAACGTAAGAATTATCAATCTAATATTATAATTATGCAAAGGACAAAATGGCAGCAATAATAATTACTTAAAATAGAAATATTATTCTTAACATTATCCAAAAAATTGTTATTATAAGGATTGATACCAGATGGCGAACCTGTTTCCTCATTCGCTTGGCTCTTTCTTAAAAACTGTACAACTTTGTTTTAACAATACTCAAATATCACCATATTTAATTGAATCGAATTCAAAAATTAATTTATAGATAATTTTGAGTCATAAAAAGGATTTAGAAATAAATAAGGTATTACTAATATGCATAATTTTAATTTGAAAATTTTCAAACTGTTATTTAAACTTGCGATTTCAGTTCGCTAAATAAACGTCTCACTCACAAGCTCTGAAAAAAGTGATTTTTGGTCATGGTTTTCTAGTGCCATAAAAAAATGAATAAATAACAAAACTTATCATAGCTATCACCAGAATCACCAACATTATGTACATTTTCTTAGTAAACCTTTGGAAAAGGGCATCTTCCTCTGATTGACTTAGCTGCTTCTTACTCTTAGCTCCCGAACTGGCGTTGCGGGTTTGGTTACCGCTGAAGGAAAGAGATCTGATCCTTCCCGCCAGAGAGTTAGATCTATTTCCTGCAAGACCACCACTGCCTAGTACGGACAAAGATCGAGACCGGCCATAAGGAGGCGGATTTCCACTAAATGTAGAGCTGTGGCCAAGGCCTCTAATTCTGGAGGGCGATCCACTTTTTATTATGTGTCCATTAGATATTCGTTCGCGTGCCGCTGTACACCTTTTATGAAATAACCGCATGGCTGATCACAACTGTCTTAGTAGTCGGAATGAAATTTTCTGCAAGTATTTGTGGGAATTTTATTTGAAAACCAATTATTTAAAAGCATACTTGGAAAAGTTTGATAGAAACCGTTTTTCAGGCTTTGATAGACATTCTCAGTTAAAATCTGAGGAGAAGAAAAATGAGTGTTAGATTGGACAAAATATAATTAGCGTCATCATTAAATATCTGAATAAAATTATGTTAAAATGATGTTCACAGAAAAGAAAAATAATGTACAATACGCTATATTGATTTTTTAGCACATAATGGACCCAAGAAATAGGTTTCCCTACTAAAGTAGCAGGTTATAAAATGTTTTTCTACTTCTCAGCTTTTGCCTACGGTCCTGTCACTAAATTACATCAAGGAATCTTTCGCCGTCTTTTGCTTCTGGTCTGAGAGCATAAGAACATTGTCTGAAAAATATCATTTGTTCAAATAAAGAAGAAAAAAACAAAATAAAATGTGTAGTTCTGCATCACTAAATTCTACAGCGTACACTAGGTAGCTATTAAAATACACACACATACATATATATACATATATGTATATTTTGTTCTAAGGATTGTTCTAAACTTTGATATCATATAATTTGTTAATATGCCTAGACTGTGAAACCGATGGATTATGGTGTGCGTTTCGTTACCACAAAAACGTGTTCAGGAATTTATGGTCGTGGATGCGCTATAAGAGTAACAGTCAAATCTCACAATCCAGTCAGAAGAGTTGGCGCTGAGTGCTGTTGACTAGCTGCCTACCCTCTAGTCTATTCGTTCGGAATTGGCCTGGTAGTTATGGCGCTCCACTCGTAATTACGGGCAGCGGGATCAAACCCCGTCACCTAAAATGATCGCCATTTTAGCCGTGGAAGCGTTATAATGTGATGATTCATCCCATATTCATTAGTAAAACATGGTTGTGAGTGCTGTTAACTACTTGCCTTCATTCTAGCCTATCAATTCAAAATAAGGGGCAAGTAGCGAAGATAGCCTTCCTGTAACTTTGTGCGAAATTCAATAAACAAACAGGCCTGACATGACCAGGTGGTTAGGGCACTCGACTTGCAATCTGCTGGTCGCGGGTTCGAATCCTCGTCCCACCAAACATGCTCGCCCTTTCAGCCGTGGGGGGCGTTATAATGTGACAGTCAATCCCACTATTCGTTGGTAAAAGAGTGGCCCAAGAGTTGG